TATCTCTATCTTGTGTTTTTGAAATAACGAGAAATAAAATTATTCTTTCTTTCAGTATTTAAGTTCTCGTTAAATGTAGCGTAACGTTAAGGCATGAGAACCCACTTTCCTACCATACGATCACCAAAGGACGATTTTAAATCCCGACCCACTTTCCAAGGGACCCATTCTATATCTCGGCTCTTTGCAGAATGTCCAAGAGAATCGTAGAGAAAGAAAATTCCTTTTTCTATCTTTTTCCATCCTTTTCTTCTTCTTCTTCTTCTTTCTCTTCTTTCTTTTCTTTTCTTTTTTTTTTCATTATCTTTTTATTTCTTCTTTTTCTTCTTCTTCTTCTTCTTCTTCTTCTCCTTTTTTTTTTCTTTTCCTTTTTCCCTCCCCCTGAAATGATAAAACCCCCCTCTACGCATTCACCAAGCAAGGCTCAACGAATCAGTCTGTTTGACTATTTGAATTCTGACATCTTACTACGTACGTTCTTTCGTTTCTTCTACATATCAAGCTCGGTTATTCTAACAATAGAAAAGTACATACATACATATGTACGTATGTATGTATGTATGTATGTATGTATGTATGTATGTATGTATGTATGTATGTATATAAGTACGCATTTACGTACGTATGTACGAATGTAAACTCTAATAAATCCATCTTCATGTGACCAGACAAGAACTAGAGAAAAGTAAATCCCTTTAAGATTTTATCTAACGATATCGAACGATTATTCAATTTCACGAATCCATTGAAATAATTATAATTGTTTGAAAAAAAAATTATTTATATTAAATAATCATTTAATTGTTTGAAAAATTTTCAGACATTTTTCTTCATCAAAATTATTATAAATAATGATGTTTGTTTCCCTTCTTTTTTTTTTTTTTTTTTTTTTTGGTTTTTGTTTTTTTTAATCAATCTCGATATAATCATTATCTTTTGTAATTCTTTCGAAAATGACAATGTAGAAAAACTTGTTTAATTGATTGCAATGAAGTGATCGATTCAAATGAAGTCGAATGTCTATCATTGATGTAATCCGTACCAGTGGATTTGTTAATGTTTATTTATATATACATATATATATATATATATATATATATATATATATACATATATATATAACTTATATTTATATATATACGTATGTGTCTGTATGTATCATTTTCGATAATTATTTAATATTCATTTCACTCGAACAAGATTGGAATGAAATAAATAAATAAATAAAAAAAAAAAAAAGAAAAAAAAGAAAGACGCAAACAAAAATTGTCACAGAGGATAAATTAATTGTGCAAATCTGAAATTTTCCAAGCGATGGGATTGCTGTTTCAACTCGATAGAAGGAAACGTACACGGTGCATATAAATCATTTCGCCCACACAAATCAGATATTCCATAAACGATGAATATTTCGAGTTTCAAATTTTATGGAACAATCGCGTATAATTTAAAACCATGTTGTATGGCATTTTTCTTTTTTTTTTTTTTTTTTGGTTTTCGACTTAATTCGTATATCAAAGGATATTAAAAAAATTAATTAATATTTCCTCTTTCACTAAAATATAACCGTAGATATAATAGATTTTTAATCGAATAGCTGTCCTTAATACATCGTCACAATTTCACAAAAAGGGAAAAAAAGAGAGAAAGAATTTGCGATAAAAAAAAAAAAGAGAGAAAAAAAAAAAAGAAAAAGAATTAACGATCCCTCCGTTGGGATAATAATTTCGAAGGATATCAATCGTATCGTAGACATCGATATCGCAAAAAGAGATTATTCCGGATTATTTGGAATGAAAAAAAAAAAAAAAAAAAAAGAAAAAAAAAAAAGCAAAATAGGAATGTCAAGACGCTTGATATCATTTCAGAATGAAAGAATAGTGCAAATCGAGTTACGTCCTTGAATTGGACCAACCTCCATCACATTTCCTCCCCTCCCCTCCTCCCTCGTAGCTTGATCCTTGTTCGATGAACATCCATGAACGATGATATAGACCGTGCTTTAAAGATATAGCTCGACTATGTATGTAGGGGCTATAAGTAATAGGAAAGGAGAGATAGATAGAGAGAGAGAGAGAGAGAGAGAGAGAGAGAGAGAGAGAGATAGAGATAGAGATAGATAGAGATAGAGAGAAGACTGAAGGAAAAAGGAAGTCGCCAAGAAATGGTTGGACAAGTCACGTGGTTCCTCTTCTTCCTGTCTGTCCTCCCTTATACATTATCGGATGGTCGTCCCAGAGCGATTGATGATCCAATAAAAGGAAACGTAGTTATCCTTTTTATGGCGAGTGCGTTTCGTGCACCATGTCAAAGATAAAAAGAAAGATAGAGGGGAAAGAAGGAAAGAGAAAGATAGAAAGGAAGGAAATAAAATTGAGAAAAAAAGAGAAAGAGAGAGAGAGAGAGATCCTTGCTCTCTCATCGATGCCATTCAATGTATATTATTCGTTGGTAACGTGCAAACATCGATAGGATCTCATTGGGAAAAGCTATTGGGAGCCATCAAAGTACTAATGTGCTCTCTAAGCACTCCAAGTAAAAGACGTTTTACGTTGAAAACGGGAATATCGTCAAAGTTTTTAAAGTACCTTTATCTTTACTTTTACCTTTTGTTACATTTACTTTTCCCCGATCGAAAACAATCGAGGAAAAATTCTTCACCCTCCAATCCCTTCCCTCCCTCCCTTCCTTCCTCCCACCCACCGTCCCTTCCCCAACCTACCACATCCCATTTCCCTCCTACTCCTTCCTAGTGGAAGTTGGTACTACACGTGTAAGAGCTAATTTTTTTTTATATATATAATCGGTCTTTGAGATTAATAAAATGTTAGTGGACAAAAATTTTCTTACGTACTTACGCGAGATATTTCCCTTTTAGATTTACTTTTATGACGTTCTCCATGTTATTTTCCATGAAACAATCGAATAACTCGTTAAGCAACGAAGAGGATAAGGGAGGTAGAGAAGCGCGCTCCCCCCTCCCCACTCTCCTCGTGAAAACGCAATATCTAACTTTCGACAATTAAGACTGCATGTAACAAAGTGAAGTTTCGGTTGCAGTTTAAAGTCAAGTAATAATTAAGTTATAATTAATATCGATAATTATCTTTCAAGGGGATTTTATCTTTCAAGTATCAGGAGAGAAAGGAAAAAAGTGAAAAAAGAAGAAGAAGAAGAAGAAGAAGAAAAGGAACAATAGAAAAAAAAATAGAATAAAAAAAAGTAGACAAAAGCGAAGAAATTATTCTTACGTCTTTCGTAGATCCATATATTTGTCTTTTAATATATTCCACATATCCTCGTAATATTAAACTAACATCGAAACATGAAATTCTCATATAATTCTATTATATTCTTATATATTTTCATATCCATCAAATTTTTTCATCTCCTTCATCATATGAAACAATATTCCTATTGAACTTTGAACGAATATGTCTATGCATTTTGTAATATTATCGTCCTCTACACTCTGTAATATTAGTAAATGTAAACAATGTACATTTTTAATATGATTCAACAGCTGTCTCGACTAGCTATAGCAAAAAAAAAAAAAAAAAAAAAAAAAGAAGAAACCATTTTATAACCTCTTCCTTCTTCTTTATCGTTGCGTATGACCATGCTTCACATATCTACCTTGTATTTTAGTGCTTGCAAGTGTTAAAAAAAAAAAAAAGAAAAAAAATTAAGAGAAATATTATATAAATAAATAAATAAATAAAAAGAAATGGAAGGAAAATTATTTCTATAATTGATTATTTCAAAAAGCTAATAAAACTCTCTTGAATAAATCAACGTAATACATATAGAAATGATTTTGTTATTTCTAAAAAAAAAGAACGTGTATTAAATATTGTTTAAATAATTATAAAATTCACGTGAGCATTAATATTTCAATCTTAGACGTTTGAAAGGAGACAGAGAGAAAGTTTCGATGTTCACTCGTCGGAATACGGAAGAGAACTGATTCGACAACAAGTCAAAGTCATTCTGAGTATTATTTCTATTTATATATCGCGACGGCAACGATTCCAAGGTCGAGAATTTAATCGTATTGAAATGTCAATGTAAAATTATTTTATATTTAACGTGCGTACCAAACTATTTACATATTTTATTTTATATTAAGCTAAAAATTAAAATTATATTTAAATACAAAAATACAAAAAAATCGTAAATAAATTAAAATGTAATATTATTTCAATCTGATTGTTTAACGAAATCAAATAAAAACAATGTATTAATACGATTTAATTAAATATACAATTATCAAATGAGAAACTTAATGTAAGCATAGAAAATATCTATTGATATAAATATTTAAATACTTGTCTTAAGAAAATTTATTCCCCTTTTTTGAAAATCTTCGAATTGATGAAAATTTAAATGAGCGTTATATAATACAACTCTCGAAATTAGATTCCAATTTATTTAGATTCTATTTCCTGTTCACGATTTATTTTCTTGAAAGTATGCGATTAAATAAACTCTCGTTCCTCGTTCCTTTTCTCTTGATCGATAAAAGAGAAAATATCGAAGGGCCATTTTGAGAGAAGCACAGATTGCTACGACTCGTTTGTAAATTTCTCTATTATTATTTCCTTCCTCTCTGCGGAAACTTCTCGAAAATGTTCGTTGAGTTCGTTCGAAAGTTTTGCAATTAAAAGTATCACCTGTAACTCGCAATTTTCTCAATCTCAAAAAAAATATCTTCGAGGAGTGAAGGAAGAGAGAGAAAAAAAAAGAAAGAAAGAAAGAAAGAAAAGAAAGAACGAAAAAAAGAATGACAGAGGGATTCTAAATCTTCTCTAGTATTTTTCCAATTTATATTGAATTTCTTCGGGGAGAAAAAGAAAAAAAGAAAAAAAAAATAATAAAAAATAATCATTCGAATTTAATGACATTCGAAAAGTAATATTTGAATTTTCTTAATAATTAAATCTCGATATCTTACTTGTATTATTATTTGTATCATCGAATACGTTTCATTTCTGTTTCAGTGAAGGCACATAAATATTGTGATACAAATGGCACCTGGTTTCGGCATCCAATCTCCCACACAATCTGGAGCAATTACACGACTTGTATCAATATCGAAGATCTAATTGTGAGTAAACCCTTTTAGATTTGAAAATGTTATTGGGAAAAATCGATTAATAATACAAATGATTGAATCGATTAATATTCATAATAAAATATTTACGCATCGGTCTGATCTAAGCTTTTACAATGATATCTAAGATAAAATATAATAATATTCTTTAGATAAATTCATATACATTATCTGA